GAGGGAGAAGCAGCCTTCCTGTGGACCCTGGGATCATGACCTGAGCCAAAGGCAGATGCTTAATGACTGAGCCCCTCAGATGCCACTCAACTCTTTTTAAAAAGAATCAACTTTTGGTTTCATTTATCTTCTATTAGCCAACACATAGTGCATCATTAGTTTTAGATGGAGAGCTCAGTAATTCATCAGTTGCATATATTTTTTTTCTGTTTTTAATTTCATTGATTCCTGCCCTGTATTTCTTTCTGCTTGCTTTTGTTTTTTTAGGTTACTTAAGTAAATTACCCCATTTTTAAGACTGTAAAACAATATGCTTCCCCCTCTCTCTCTGCCTGCTTCTCTGCCTACTTGTGATCTCTGTCAAATAAATAAATAAAATCTTAAAAAAAAAAAAAAGGGGGCGCCTGGGTGGCTCAGGGGGTTAAAGCCTCTGCCTTCAGCTCAGGTCATGATCCCGGGGTCCTGGGATCGAGCCCCACATCGGGCTCTCTGCTCAGCGGGGAGCCTGCTTCCCCCTCTCTCTCTGCCTGCTTCTCTGCCTACTTGTGATCTCTGTCAAATAAATAAATAAAATCTTTAAAAAAAAAAAGACTGTAAGACAATAATGACAAATCCTGATTAAAACAAAACTCAGACAAACCCCTAAAAGCAAAAATTCTGCATAAAATATTTTATTAAAAATAACATAAAATGGGGAAGTGAATATAATATCAATAAATGCTGAATGCCATTGGTTCTCATCCAGCATTGTTTTTAAAATAGCATGTTCAAATAAAAACTATATTTAAAAAATATAAAAAACAAAGTACAGAAAACCCTCACTCTGAGCCTTGCTCCCCTAGACAACAATTAGTCCCTTGTTTATCCTTTCAGTGTGACATTATGCAAGTATGAGCAAATATGGATATATATTTTCATTCTTCTTAATAAAATATATTATCTTTTATACAATATATTTTATATTTACATATACATGCATATAACATACTATTCTCTACTTTGTTTAATAATACATCTGGAGATATTTCCATTTCATTACATTACAGCTGCACACTATTCCACTGTAGATGTAGTCTATTAAACCAGTCCTCTGTTGATGGACATTTGTGTTGTCTTCTATTTTTTACTACTGGAAATAATGCCAAATATTTTCAAGGCACACATGCAGATGTGTCTGTGGGATAGGTTCTCAGAAATAGGATATTTGGGTCAAAAGGCAAATGTATCTTATAGTTTTGGTAGACACTGTCGAATTCCTCTACATAGGAGTTCTATTTTGCCCCATAGCAATTTATGAGAATGCCTGCTTCTCTATAGCCTTATTAAGAATGAATTTTTTAACTTTTCAGTTTTTTGCTAATCTGTTAAGTGAGAAATGGCATCTTAATACATTTTTATTTGCATTTCTCATAGAAGAAACATTTGACACCTCTCCATACATTTAAGGGTGATTTATATTATCTCTGAACAGTCTCTTCACATTTGTGTGTGTGTGTGTGTGTGTGTGTGTGTGTGTGTGTGTGTGTATGCTTTACTCAATTTCTACGAGCTCTTCATAAATAGAGAGGTGAATCTCTTTATGATATAGGCTGCAAATATTTTCACTACTTTGTAAGCTTTTACCCAGTCTGTATTCTTCCTCAGGGAACTGGAGAGGAAGAAAGTCTTCCTCTTTCTTTTTTTTTTTTTTTTTAAGATTTTATTTATTTATTTATTTTTTTAAAGATTTTATCTATTTATTGGACAGAGAGAGATCACAAGTAGATAAAGAGGCAGGCGGAGAGGGAGAGAGGGAAGCAGGCTCCCCGCTGAGCAAAGAGCCCGATGCGGGACTCAATCCCAGGACCCCGAGATCATGACCTGAGCCGAAGGCAACGGCCCAACCCACTGAGCCACCCAGGCGCCCCTAAGATTTTATTTATTTATTTGATGGACAGAGATCACAAGTAGGCAGAGAGGCAGGCAGAGAGAGAGGGAGAAGCAGGCTCCCTGCTGAGTGGAGAACCCGATGCGGGGCTCGATCCCAGGACCCTAGGATCATGACCCAAGCTGAAGGCAGAGGCTTTAACCCACTGAGCCACCCAGGTGCCCAAGTCTTCCTCTTTCTTAAACCCCTCCCTTCCTCAGGGCGTCTCTTCCCCACTCAATATTTGTGCTTTCATTTATTCAATTGATCAGTCAATTAATCAGGGGAATTCAACAGAATAACTCATTTCATGATCTTATACCTATACCCCACTGAGTTGACACTCCATAATAAACCAGTTACACTTACTTTTGCTTCTTAATATTGTGATATTTTACAATAGACATATGTCATTTTGTAATTAGAAGACTGGGAAGCACAAAATAAAAAAAAAATACCATCCATTTACACTGTTAACATATTAGTGTATTTTTTCAAATTTTTCCCTCTGTGTCTTTACATCTACCACATTGTGTGCATTTTTCTGAGTCATTAAAAATGACCCCAGGGGCGCCTGGGTGGCTCCGTGGGTTAAAGCCTCTGCCTTCGGCTCGGGTCATGATCCCGGGGTCCTGGGATCGAGCCCCGCATCGGGCTCTCTGCTCAGCGGGGAGCCTGCTTCCTCCTCTCTCTCTGCCTGCCTCTCCGCCTACTTGTGATCTCTGTCAAATAAATAAATAAAATCTTTAAAAAAAAAAAAAAAAAAAAAAATGACCCCAAATATTTCTCTTACTGCATTAGAAAAACTCTGTAAACTAATCCTTTCCTTTAAAAAAATAGTAGAAATAGCATGGTAATGTATACCTTTTTATATATATCAACTGATTATGTCCTTAATATAGATTCTTAGATGTGACATTTGAGTCACATGGTATGAACGTTTTAAAGGCCTTTGATATAGACTGCCAAACTGTGTTCTGGAAAGGATGCTGCCAAAGTATTCACAGGAAAATTAATTCACTGAAATACAGAAGATAGAAAATAAGAAAAGCCTAAAAATAAGAAACTCAAGAAGCTAGAAAAATGACAAATCTAACAGAAGTACACACATACAATAAAGAATAAAAAATTAATAGAAAATAGCATGTTGAAGCATAATATGTCCTGATTGGAAAGAATATAAGTAAACCCACACCTAGATACATTTCACAAGATAGCACAACACTTTCCTACTTTTCAGGATTTTGCTAAACCTCTTTAAAGATAGAGAGGTAATGTGAACATCAACCAGAGAGGAAAGACACACTGTTGCAAAAAGAACAATAAATTGTCTAATTACAGACTTTAAAAGCAGCACCAGAGGCTCAGAACTGCTGAGTAAAAATAAATGTCAATTTAGAATTCTATACCTAGCTAAGCTATAATTCAAGGGTAAGGGAGAAATAAAGAACTTACTACTCACAGATACACTTGCTGAAAAATGAGAAAAATTTGAGAGATTATTTATATAAGGAACTCTTTTATAAGGCTTGCTACATGCCAGGCACTATTTTAACCATTCTACAAATATTAATTCATCTGATCCTTATAACAACCCCATGAAGTAGATACCATTATCACCCTACTTTACAGATAGAGAAATGGAGACACAAAGAAATTCAGGAATCTGCTCAAGGTCACAGAGCTAGAGATCAATGACAGAACCACATATCAAACCCAGGCCATCTGGCTGCAGAGTTGGTGCTTTTTTTTTTTTTTTTTATTAAGATTTTATTCATTCATTTGACAGATAGAGAGCACAAGTAGGGGAGCAGCAGGCAGAGGGAGAGGGAGAAGCAGGCTCTCCTGCCGAGCAAGGAGCCCAATGCGGGGCTCGATCCCAGGACCCTAGGATCATGACCTGAGTGAAGGTAGATGCTTAACTAACTGAGCCACCCAGGTGCCCCAGTGTCAGTGCTTTGGACCACTGCACAAGCTGCTTCTGCTCTGGGAGCCTGAGAAATGGAATTCACAAGGAAGGAGGAAATATAAGAACCAGTGGTAAGAAACTGACAAATATGCAGGTTAATCCAAATTTTCATTGTCTACTTATAACAAAATAATAATGACAAATCTAGGGATGTGTTAAACACTTTTGGGATGTCTGGGTGGCTCAGGCATTAAGCATCTGCCTTCGGCTCAGGTCATGATCTTAGGGTCCTGGGATTGAGCCCTGCATTGGGCTCCCTACTCAGCAGGAAGCCTGCTTCTCCCTCTCCTACTCCCCCTGCTGTGTTCCTTCTCGCGCTGTGTCTCTCTCTGTCAAATAAATAAATAAAATCTTTTAAAAAGAACTTGATGAAATAAAAATCATATACCACTGTAACATAACTTGGGAGAAGGAGAAGCACAGTTAGTGTTCTACTCTCTACTAATAAGGCATAATGCAGACTTTATTAAGTTATGAATGTTAACAAATGTCAAAACAAAAAGATAAAATTTACTGATCTGGTAGAGGAAAACAGAGAATAAAGAAAACATCCAATGGAAGGAATGAAAGAAAAAGAAACAAAACCCAAAAAATTACACCCCAACAAATTTTTCAAGGACTTTGACAAGGTGATTCTATAACTTACATGAAAGAAGAATAAAGGGCTTTAAATAGGACAATTTCCATAAAAGTTAAAGCACTTGAAAATGTTTTGTTGTCACAGGGGTATACAAATAATCTATTGAAAATATCTGATAGAAGATGACAGGAGCTGAAATCCATTAATTCTAAAACATCAGCATAAAAAAATCACGAAAATGTAATGTTTGGGGTATAAAGCAAATTGCAAATTATATTATCTATGTAAAAATATAAGATACCATGGACATACACATAATAAACTCAAAGCATACACAGAAATACACAGTAACTTATGCATAATTGTTAACTCTGAGCAGAGTGATACAGCATGAAGCTTTATTAAATCTGTTTTTTCCTTACTAAAAAAAAAAGACCTGATGCTAATATGGCAAAAATTTTCATATACTATTACAGTCATTATGTTTTCTGAACTTTTCTGTATGCCTGATATATTTCATACTTAAAATATCTTTTAAATCTAAAAACAAAGAGGAAAAAGGAAGAGGAAGAAGGAAAAGAAACTGATATAAAATGTGAGTTGTTAGAATTTTATTAATACCTTCATTCAGTGATATTTGAGTGCCTCTCAGATGCCAGTTGCCATTAAAGACCTCAGGCATACCAAGCCCCTCTCCCAGTGTGAGCTGATGGTCTCTGGACAGCTCAGCTGACAGTCCTCCTAGAGCCCCAAAGGCCTACTAATTGTAGATATCCTTCCCCTTGAAATGGCTGCTTAGGGTGCATACAGAACATACTGCTCCTAAGTGAAGGATTCAGACAAAGCATTTCTCTTCCCTATCCACAATTCAGTGATGAAACTGGGTCCTTGACCTCTTCCTAACCTCCAATGGCCCAGGTATTCCCTCTTCATTGCCAGGCCCCAGGCTCTGTCTCTGATTAATTTATGCCTCTTGAAAGGATCAAGAGTTGCCTTGATGGAGTTGCTTTCCAAGGCCCCTCCCAGCAGCTCTTCTACCTCTGGTCTCAACTGGCCCTAATACTGATGGGGTCCAGATCTACCCACTGTAGACCACTCTCTGCTCAGCTCAGACTTCCAGGGAAGGCCCTGTACTGGGGGGTCACCACACTTGCTAGAGACTTTAGAGAAACTTCTGGGCTTTCCACCCCCACTATCCCACAAGCTCCCTCCTAGACACTTTTCCTTCTAATCATTCCCTTTCAGATTTGTTTTCCTCTACTCTAACTCCCTTCCACAAACCCTGATGCAGTCCCTTTCTTTAGCTGTCTCTTCTAGCAACATCTACTCTGAAGATGCCTTACCTGGAGATTTCTACAATCCATGGTGCAAGGCATCCAGCAGCCTGGAGACATGACAGATGGATGAGGAGATGCTCAATTAGTCCCAGGAGGCTTTCATCCTAGAAAGGCCTTTGCCAGGTAAGGGGTGTCTTTCCCAGGAAGAAGACCTTGTTTGTCACTGGTGCTGGGTAACTCATGGGTTATGTCCAACATAATCCTCTTTGAGATGGAATCAACCCAACCTTCTATGGAGATGGTCAGTCCAGAGCCTGACACACAATTTCATTTCATAGGATTCTTCCCTGAATAATACAACAGATACTTTTGTCAAAACTTGTATGTTAAAACATTGATTTTTACAATTGATAGTTTAGGGATGAGAATTCTTATGCTAAAGGTATATATTTTTAAATTTGTTACACTGATTTAACTTGAATATTTATCTCAAGTCCATTAGTATATTCATCAGGTTAACAGTACTTCTCTTTGAGGTGCCTGGGTGGCTCAGTGGGTTAAGCCTCTGCCTTCAACTCAGGTCAAGATCTCAAGGTCCTGGGATCGAGCCCTGCATCAGGCTCTCTGCTCGGCAGGGAGCCTGCTTCCCCCTCTCTCTCTGCCTGACTCTCTGCCTGCTGGTGATCTCTCTGTCAAAAATAAAACAAAACAAAACAAAAAACAGTACTTCTCTCTGACAGGGATTAACTAATGATGAAAACCATGATTTGACCAAAATCTTTGCCACACAGCATTTTTAAAAAAGGTTTCAAGGTGTGAACTTTGACGTTTTCACCACACATCACACAGGGGTTCCTCCCATGTGGATTTGCATTAAAAAATACTTCATGAATGGCTACTTGTTCCAGGCTGTGTGCCAGGAACTGGGGACAAAATGGACAGCAAAGCATGCATAGTTGGACTTTCATGCTCATCAAATTGTTACAGCTCATCAAATTGTTATAGAAAAAGGCTCTCTGGTAAAGGGGGAGAAATGCACTCTAGCAGAAGTTCTGACCAAATGTTCCATGTATGGGGGGGGGGTTCTCTCACCTGGGATCTGAGGAATATGAAGACTTGAGCTCACTTCTCAGGTACACAAGGTTTCTACCCTTGTGAGACCCTGTGGTCCCTCTCATGAACATGAAAGTTCATGTTGTAACTGAAACCCTTACCACATCTTTCATATTTAATGGTCTCTCTGTGTGAATTCTTTGATAAACTTGGAGACTGATGCTCTGAATCACACACACTTGCAGAGTTTCTCTCTTGTGTGGAGTCTCTGATGCATTTGGAGATCTATGTTCTGACTGAAGTCCTTACCACACTTAACCACATTTGTAGAGTTTCTCTCCAGTGTGGACTCTTATGGATGTGAGGCTTAGCGCTCTGATAGAAGCCCTTGCCACACTCCCCACACTTAAAAGGTTTCTCTCCTGTGTGAACTCTCCGATGAGCATGAAGATTTGTGTTGTAACTAAAGCTTTTGCCACATGTATCACATATGAAAGGTTTTTCTCCAGTGTGGACTCTCTGATGGATGTGAAGATTGGAGCTCTGAGTGAAGCCCTTGCCACACTTTTCACACTTAAAAGGTTTCTCTCCTGTGTGGACTCTCCAATGAACACAAAGTTTTGTGTTATAACTGAAGCCTTTTTCACATGTATCACATATGAAAGGTTTCTCTCCGGTGTGAATTCTCTGATGATAGTGAAGACCTATGCTCCGATGGACGCTCTTCCCATACTCAGCACAGTCGTAAAGTTTCTTGCCTGTGTGGAAAACGGGATGCTTTGAGAAGAAGAAAATGTTTACAATGGTGAAAAATAACATCAAGTTAAAAATCTTAATCAAGGCTGCAAGCAATAGGATATCAGACTAGAGAATGTGGAAAATTATAGTAGTCAATTAAAAGACCAACTTGAAGAATTCTACCAGGACTCAGACAGAAAGGATTAAAAAAGTATAATTATGAGAAAAATATTAAGTTGTGAAGGATAGATCTAGAAGATCTATATGTATAAGATATCCAGGAGGAACAAACAGAAGAATTAAAGAAAATTTACTTAATCTGAAAGAAAATTTGATCCTTTAGATTGAAAATATCCCCCCCACTACCATGTGGGAATTTTGAAAAAAAGAAGACAAACTAACATATACATATCTGGATGAAATTTTTGAATTTCAAGGATTAAGAAAACAAAAGCATATAAAACAGTAAACAAAATAAAACAAGTTACTCCCTTGAAAAGAGAATAAGATTGGCAGAAGATAGTGACAATGTCTCCAGTGTCCTGAGGGAAAAAGACTTTAGTCAATTGTAAACCTCAGCTGATGATTCCCTTACATAAGCAAAAGGAAGATACTCTCAAAAAAGGAAAGACGACCCAAACTAATCAAAATAAAAACTCATGAAAAGGGAAAACATGAAATATAAAAGGTAGAAATGAATAATGAAAACAAAAAAGCTTTTCTTCCTTTTCACTCAACAAAATTCTCATGAAATAATATAGGAAAACTTCTCTGAGCTGAAGGATTCAGAAAGGAATGGGCTCAGTGACTGGCAAACACAATTTTGGGGGGAAAAAAGGCTGCATACCTAGACATTCTGGAAAACTTCAAAATTCCAAGGAGAAACAGAAAAAAACAAAGTTCTAAATGTTTTCAGAAGGGAGGGAAAAGAAAAAACAGATTAAATAAGAATAAGAAAAAATTATAAATGAATGTATCAGATTGGAAGATGCAAAATCAGGAGCTCAAAAACAGATATAAAATGGCTAAAACATTCTCAGGGAAAATGATTTTGAATCTAGAAGTCTCAACTCAGCCACAATAGTATTCAAGACGGGGGTGAATACAAATACTTTTAGCAATACACAGAGATTCAAAAAGCTCGTTGGCAAATGAAAACAGACTCAAGCAAAAAACAGATGTGGGATTTAAGAAATCATGGAAAAAAACAGCTGCCATAAAAATTAAGGCCACTTTAATCTGAGAAAATGAAGGTACAATGCAAAAAATTAACAATTATATATGGTTTCAACAAAACACAGGACATGGGGAGAGGGCGTGTGAAAGCTAAGTAAAAGTTTGCTAATGGCCTTGTATTCTGGAGAGTGGAAGTTATAAATAACTTGCCACTGACAGAAATATAACTTTTAGAAAGGGAGAAGCAAGATGGTGGAGGAGTAGGAGATTTAAATATCATCAGGTCCCAGGAGTTCAGCTAGATAGTTATCAAACGGTTCTGAACTACAGCAGATAGAAGAGAAGAAGAGCAGCAATTCTAGGAACAGAAAACTGACCACTTCCTGGAAGGTAGGACGTGTAGAGAAGTGAACCTGAGGCAACATTCAGGAAGATAGATGGGGGAGGGGCAAGTGAGAGAGCAGCAGAGCACAAAATTGTAACTTTTAGAAGTCTGCTTCACTGAGGGACGTTGCTCCAGAGGCTAAGTGAGGGGTGGAGCCCTTGTGGGGAGAGTGTGGTCTCAGGACCCACAGGGTCACAGAAAGACCTGGGGTGCCTGAGTGTGGCACAGCTGCCAAGTATTGGAGTGGGGAAGTTGGCTGCAGAGACAGAGCCAAGGAGTGGGCTCTCAGCTAGGGGTTACTTTAAATCATGATCCAAGACACAGCTGGACCTCTGCTCTTTGAGCAGGAACCCCAAAAATGGCAGATCTGGAGAGACCCCCTCCTTCCTCCTCTGGGAGGAGTGGCGTGGGAGTGTGCTGCAGGAATCTGCTGGGTTTGGAGACTCCAGACAGGGCTGTCACCAGAGATAGAAACGTTCAGTCACAGGCTGGGTGAGCGCTGAGTGCAGCCAGAGACCAGAGAAACAGGAGGGATTGACTGTTTTTCTCTGAAGGTGCACTGAGTAGTGGGGCCCTGAGCTTTTGGCTCCTACAGGGCCAGAGATTGGGAGGCTGCCATTTTCATCCTATCATCCAAAGCGGTATGGAAAGTGTTGAGGGAACAAAAGCCACCAAGACCAAAACCGAGCAGATCACTAAGCCCAGCCCCTGCAAGGGCAGTGCAATTCCGCTTCCGGTGAAAACATTTGAGAATCACGGCAACAGACCCCTCCCCCAGAAGATCAGCAAAAACATCCAGCCAAGACCAAGGTCATCAATCAATGAGAACTGTGAAACTCCAGAGCTAGTGGAAAGCAATACATAGAATTCATGGCTTTTTTCCCATGACCCTTTAGTCTTTCAAAGTTAAATTTTTTAAATTTTATTTTTTTCTTATTCTATTTTTAAATTTTTCCTCTTTCCTATTTTAACGTTTTTAAACTATTTTATCTCATCAATATCTTTTAAAAAATCTTAATTTTCATTGTTATAGTCATATTTTAATCCCTTCATTGTATTTGATCTTATTTTTTTGTATACATACAGCTTTTTTTTCTTTAAAATTTTGGATAAAATTTCTTCTAATAGATCAAAATACACCCAAAATCTAGTGCATTGCTTTGTTCTAGTCCCCAGCCTGATCACATTCTTTCCTCTTTTTTTCTTTTTTCAACAATCTTCTTATCAATTCCTTTTTTAGAATCTTTTTAAATTTTCAGCTTTACAGTCATATTCCATCCCTTCATTCTGTTTACCCTTATTTTTGTATATATATGTTTTTCTTTCTTTAAAACTTTAGGAGGTAGTTTCTTCTAACATACCAAAATACACCCAAAATCAAGTGTGTATCTCTGTTTTATTCACCAGTCTAATTTATACACACACATATATAATTTCTTTTTTCCCCCTTATTTCTCCCCCCAGGTTCGGGTATCTTCAGCTTTGGTTAATATATATTTTCTGGGGGCATCTGGGTGGCTCGTTTTTTAACCAACTGCCTTTGGCTCACATCATGATCCTGGAGTACTGGGATCGAGTCCCACATCAGGCTCCCTGCTTGTCAGGGAGTCTGCTTCTCCCTCTGACCCTCCCTCTTCTCACACACACTCTGTCTCTCATTCTCTCTCTCTCTCAAATAAATAAAATCTTAAAAAAATATATATGTATATGTATATATACATATATATATGTGTGTGTGTGTGTATATATATATATATATATGTATATGAAATTAATCCCCCCCCAGGGTCATTGCTACCCTTTTAGTATTTTGTTCTCTCATTCATCTATTATTATCTGGATAAAATGACAAGGCAGAAAAACTCACCACAAAAAAAAGAACAAGAGGCAGCACCGACAGCTAGAGACCTAATCAATACAGACATTAGTAAAATGTCAAAACTAGAGTTCACAATGATGATTATCAAGGTGATAGCTGTGCTCGAAAAAAGCACGGAAGGTATTAGAGAATCCCTTTCTGGGGAAATAAAATTCCTTTCTGGAGAAATAAAAGAACTAAAATCTAACCAAGATGAAATTAAAAAAGCTATTAATGAGCTGCAATAAAAAATGGAGGCTCTTACTGCTAGGATAAATGAGGCTAAAGAGAGAATTAGTGATATAGAAGACCAAATGATGGAGAATAAAGAAGCTGAGAAAAAGAGAGACAAACAACTACTGCACCACGAGGGGAGAATTCAAGACATAAGTGATACCATAAGATGAAACAATATTAGAATAATTGGGATCCCAGAAGAAGAAAGAGAGAGGGGGGCAGAAGGTATATTGGAGCAAATTATAGAAGAGAATTTCCCTAATCTGGCAAGGAGAACAAGCATCAAAATCCAAAATCCAGGAGACACAGAGAACCCCCCACAAAGTCATCTATAAAAATAGGTCCACACCCTGTCATCTAATAGTAAAACTTACAAGTCTCAGTGACAAAGTCTCAGTGAGAATCCTGAAAGCAGCTCGGGACAAGAGGTCTGTAACATACAATGGTAGAAATATGAGATTGGCAGCAGACCGATCCACAGAGACCTGGCAGGCCAGAAAGGACTGGCACAATATATTCAGAGCACTAAATGAGAAAAATATGCAGCCAAGAATACTATATCCAACTAGGCGATCATTGAAAATAGAAGGAGAGATAAAAATCTTCCAGGACAAACAAAAACAAAAAGGATTTGCAAACATCAAACCAGTCCTACAGGAAATATTGAAAGGGGTCTCTAAGGAAAAAGAGAGCCTAAAAGTAACAGACCAGAAAGGAACAGAGAAAATACACAGTAACAGTCACCTTATAGGCAATACAATGGCACTCAATTCATATCTTTCAATAGTTACCCTGAATGCAAATGGGCTAAATGTCCCAATGACAAAGCATATCAGAATAGATAAAAAAAAATAAGACCATTGATATGCTATCTACAAGAAACTCATTTTAGACCCAAAGACACCTCCAGACTTAAAGTGAGGGGGTGGAAAACAATTTACCATGCTGATGGACATCAAAAGAAAGCTGGGGTGGCAATCCTTATAACAAATAAATTAGATTTTAAGCCAAAGACTATACTAAAAGATGAGGAAGGACACTATGTCATACTTAGAGTGTCTGTCCAACAAGAAGATCTAACAATTTTAAATATCTATACCCCAAACATGGGAGCAGTCAATTATATAAACCAATTAATAACAAAATCAAAGAAATACATCAACAACAATACAATAATAGTAAGGGACTTTAACACCCCCTCATTGAAATGGACAGATCATCTAAGCAAAAGATCAACAAGGAAATAAAGGCTTTACATGACACATGGGCCTAGATGGACATCACAGATATATTTAGAATATTCCATCCCCAAACAACAGAATACACACTCTTCTCTAGTGCATATGGAACATTCTCCAGAATAG